GTGCAGTGCAGTGCAGTGCCGTGCAGTGCAGTGCAGTGCAGTGCAGTGCAGTGCAGTGCAGTGCAGTGCAGTGCAGTGCAGTGCAGTGCAGTGCAGTGCAGTGCAGTGCAGTGCAGTGCAGTGCAGTGCAGTGCAGTGCAGTGCAGTGCAGTGCAGTGCAGTGCAGTGCAGTGCAATCCAGTGTAGTCCTAACCTGAGATCAGACTCTATTTTACAAATAATGGCTTGCCACAAACCTTAATCCGATAGCCTTCCACCCACTATATTTAGTATTCAATCAAAATGTAGTCTGCGAACCCGGACGTAATTTCCACGAACCCAGACGTAATTTCCACGAACCCAGACGTAATTTCCACGAAACCAGACGTAATTTCCACGAACCCAGACGTAATTTCCACGCTCATTCTTTGGAAATGACGTCTGAATTCGCAGACTAATCAAAATGTCGCAGGAGAAATTTAAATTTCACACAATAAACTCTATACACTATAAAATATATCAGAATAATAGTGTAATCTAATTAGCACCAACCAATCAAATGACAGATTAAAAAATCTTTTATCTCATTGACCAATCAGATTTACAACCGAAATACGATTGTAAGGCATGGACTTTTGTTAAGGTTTGTATCAGGCCTATTTATTTATTTATAGGCCTGATCGCAGGTTAGTACAGTGCATGTCAGTGCGGTGCAGTGCGGTGCAGTGCAATCCAGTCCAATCTGGTGCCATCCAGTACAATCCAATTAATCCAGTACAATCCAATTCAATCCAGTGCAGTCCAGTCCAATCTAGTGCAATCCAATCCAGTGCTATCCAGTACAATCCAATTAATCCAGTGAAATCCAATTCGGACCAGTGCTGTCCAGTACAATCCAATCCACTCCACTTGAGTACCAGTATTAGAGTACGCATCGCCTGTTTGGGCAGGAATTCCAGAATATTTACAACAAGAAATTGAACGTGTACAAACAAGAAGCCTGAAAATTCTTGATCTGGATAGAGACTGCTTGTATGCCTTCTTTAAAAAGCAGGCGTGAACTAGCAACCATCCGAGAGATCCGAAGGATTCAAGCGGAACCAGCCAACCCTTGCCATACCTTAAGGCCCTGTCACACTATTGCGTATGAGAGAAACGTATGAGAAGCGTATGAAAATTAATGAAATAATTTTCATACGCACAAAAATCCTTTGAAATGCCAGCGTATGAGTACCGTACATCTGGCGTACCTCTAGCGTATTTAGCGTGTGCCTAGAGTATGCTTATCGTATACTATACGTCCGATACGCACAAAATTTTTGAACATGCTTAAAAAAAAAAATTCTGCCTCGCCGTATGCCAGCGTATGCCACCGTATGTGACCGTGCTTGAAACGTATACAACTTATGCCTAACGTACCCCTAGCGTATGTGAGCATATACCGGCGTATGAGTGATATTTTTCATACGCTGGCATACGCTAGTACGATACGCAATAGTGTGACAGGGCATTTACTGCCTGCTCCTAGAGAATACCGATATAAACTTATATAAACAAAATCATTCTTACACAGTTTTATCTAGAACCCAGGGACATAAGCAATCTTTTATTGCAAGATCTAGTAAATATATATAAATCGGATAACATTCAACTTTGTCTTTTAACTTAACCTTTTTAATATTAGTTTTTAATCGTAATTATTGATCTTATTTACTATGACTCAATGTAAATCCATTGTATTTTTAAATCCCAAAGATGAATATTAATAAATTTAATTCAATTCATCCAATGCAGTACAGTACAGTACAGTACAGTACAGTACAGTACAGTACAGTACAGTACAGTACAGTACAGTACAGTACAGTACAGTACAGTACAGTACAGTACAGTACAGTACAGTACACAGTAAAGTGCAATACAGTAACAATTAACTTACAGTTGAATTATATCGCTTTTAGGGGACAGCCTCGCCAATGATGGTAATTCGAATACACTGTGTGCTAAAGATGGTTTGAATGTTGGAGAAATGAGATCGTTCTACTGTGATATGTTTGGTAGATATGTAAATATAAATCGAGCTCACATGTTAATTGTTGCTGAAGTTATTATTAACCCAGAAACGACAGGTGTGTGGAAAACCAGAAGATTTTAAATTTCGGGTATCAAATCAATCTTTCCAATCTTCCTCTTAATCAATCTTCTGACATCTCTAAGTTTTATAATATAATTTTATCTCGATAATTCTGATATCTCTCTAATACGAACACCTCTCATTTACCGGCACCGCAGGTCCTCTACTCTAACGCAAACACATTTCTAATAGGTACATCTCTAATAGCCATATTCATATTAGAGACGACAAACTCGTCTATGCCAACTAAATTCGTCTGAATATAAATTTGAAGAAGAAAATCTCGATAATTCTATAGTTCCAGTCTGTTTTACCGTGCTTGGTAGGGACCGGTCATAAAATAACTGCTAGGGGAGGCCAGAGGTGAAAATGAATTTGGCCCATTCTGACAAACTCGACAAAATTTCATGGCTCACCTACATATTTATTTATTTATTTAATATAATTTTACCAAAGAACATGCTACATATGACATCGGCACCAAACATGATGCATTCGCCAATTACAGCAGCTGGCCCTATAACTAACAACTTGAGTGAACATGATTTGCAATCGAAGCATTTAGTACTTAAAAAGTACCTCAATTCCAATACCACGCCCATACTTTCATAAAAATTCATTTGCTTTATAATTGAGGACTTTTCAAATTTTCTTTGATTTTGGCAATGTAAGATAATCATGAAAATTAGTAACAATAACAGGACGTTTTTGTAATAAATTTGTAAACTGTATAATAAGTTTTATTTCTTATTTTGAATACATTTTGAATTTATTTTTTATATTAAAATTTATTCAGTTTTAAGAAAATTTTTTGTAATTCATGATAGTACAAGTGCAAACTGCATGGCTATATTTGTTTTACGGCCCATCATTTGCATACGAAACGGCCCATCATTTGCATCCCGGTTTAGACGCGATATCGCCTTTAACTGTTATTATTTCCTACTAAATTTCATTTTGTGTTTATATGGGAACCGCGAGCAGGCCCGCGCAAGCAAGATCCCACCTCGACTGACCGAGATCTCGGGAGACAAAGTTTGTTTTGTCAATGTTCAATACATTTGTAATATTGGCTGGAATGGGTTCAGTGGCGCCGTGGGTCCCATGGTTTTTTGGGGGTGGGGCAAGGGCAGTACTTTTCCGACAAACCGAAATTTTTTTCCGGGCATGGCCGGGCATGGCCCCCCTGTCCCCCCCCCCCGGCCACGGCGCCACTGAATGGGTTTTGTCCAAAATTGTAATTCGGGTACCTTGGCTGGCTCGCCCCATATAAACCGCCCCTAAGTTCAATTTTATATAAAAACGATCGGAGCAGAAACTATAAACCTTCTTTCCTAATTTCATTTACAGATAACGTTGCCACAATGGCAGACGCGAGCGTGAACGTAAATCCCCAGGGTCCCAACATAATACAGAAAATAGTAGACACAGGTTACAGTTCATTTTTCGTGGCCTGGTCTGAGCACACCGAAAACAGCAAACGGATAACAATCAACCTGGGCGCCGACTACAATATTGCCATGATTTTTATCATCAATAAAATTAACAGTTTGGATCAACTGGTCGATTTCGAGATTCGTGTTGGTAAGTGAATGCTGCAAACAGGGAAGGGGGACAAAAGGGGAAATTTGCCCCTGACCCCCAGCTAAAGGGAGCCCCCAAAACAAGGATTAAATTTATAAAATATGCATAGAAACCACAGTTAAATATTTTCCAAGAATGCAGGAATTGCTGATTTTAGGGACACTAGATTTCAAAATTTTCCGGGGGATCGGAATGGGGGAGAAATTTTAATCTAAGTACAGAGTACACATTGAAAATGTTATATAAACATTCAAAACGGAAGGAAATAATCTTGCAATAGGCCCTTGGTCAAGGCTGAGCAACTCACGATATCAGTTATATACTGAATTCAAGGTCGTTATTACAAGATCGTTAAATAACATTGGAAAAAAGTTTAAAAGGATAACATAAGTTACGGTTTTTGCACTATACTATACATGACATGAAGACGAAATTTGTTGGACACATTGACAATTCTCTCCTCGACAGTTTGATGTAAAACATTGCCAATTGGCTTTTCAAGATATTAGTGGCATTTTTCTGAAGAAGACTTAAATTAATGGTCGAAACGTAAAGAATGAAAATGTTTACAATTTTTTGTGCTTTATTATGATGACACAAGGTTGTAAAAATATTGTTATATCATGACTGTATCGGACTTGTTGGAACGGGACCGGCTAAATGGAGAGTTATGAAGTGGAGAGTTATCTCGGAGAGTTATGATTTCGGAGGGTTATGTTCGAACCACACCCAAACCACACCCACTTTTCCAAACGACCACACCCAATTTCTTAACTCTCCCGACGTTTCCTTGAACTGACATGAGAGAGTTATGTTTGACGTAACTCTCTCTCGTTAACATTATGAAGATGTTAGAGAGTTATCATTTTTTATAACTCTCCGCGTTCATGATTGTGGCAATGAAGACAGTTAAGTCAGTTTTTTGAAAAGAACTTCCACATATTAGTAAATTTTTGCAAATTTACTTTTTTCTCAAGTGTCAGCTTTAACATTTCACGCTAGTAGAAACTAATAGTACTTTAGCACTTACGAAGTTCATCTATATGTAAATGTTTATATAAATATACATGCTCACTTGGATTATCTAGCAGGACCAGCATTCAGATACATATTAGATAGAACCAGAAAATCTTTCCAATGTAATGCCCTATTGGCTGATATAGGAAAGTATTTCCAAAACCTGAATTGCTGAACGATTCAATTTTCTTAATTTTCTTGCAACTATGCTAGCCGTATTTACTGCCAAATGCACGTCAAAACATGCTTCTGGGAGTACTTTGACCCTTTTGATGCAAGCATCTCATTGTTTTGACCGAGTCAAGTTGTATTTCCTGTTTGGACGCACGCTATTGACACGCTACAAACTAAAATACCAAAATATAAGATGAAAATCTGGAGAAACAAGCTTTACTAAGGTTTTCTCAAACAACTGACTTAACGCTATTCATTGCCATAATCGTGAACGCGGAGAGTTATAAAAAATGATAACTCTCTAACATCTTCATAATGTTAACGAGAGAGAGTTACGTCAAACATAACTCTCTCATGTTAGTTCAAGGAAACGTCGGGAGAGTTAAGAAATTGGGTGTGGTCGTTGGGAAAAGTGGGCTTGGTTTGAACATAACTCTCCGAAATCATAACTCTCAGAGATAACTCTCCGGTTGGTAACTCTCCCTTTAGTCATACCCTGTTGGAACAACCTTGCAACAAATCTGATCAAGTATCAACAAGGTTGTTACAACTGTTAACAGGTTGTTTCATACTTGTTGGCAACTTGGGACAAGCAGTGCGAACACATCTCGTTGACGGCTTGTTGGCAGACTTGCTAAAAGATGTGAGATTTTAGCGTGCGTATTCCACGCTTCTGTAAACTAGAGTCAGTACACAACATATGTCATCCTCACTCTACTAATTTCCTTAGGCATGACGGATATATTCACCGAGAGCACTCTGTGCGTCCCTGGAAGTCAAGATATGACTGGCATCTTATTAAAATCATTCTACTGTACACCAGATAGGATTCCCGGTAACCACGTGTTTCTAGATCAAGGACCAGGCAAACGGTTTGGTATTTCTGAAGTTGGAGTATACGAAGAAACGAAACGTAAGTGATTGCTTGCAAGGTTGATACACGATCTCGAACCCATAGGACACACTTAAAAGAGAAAAAGGATCAATACTGCATCAGGTTGGGTTGCGTTGGTTTCAAATTTCTATATCTTTGATTTCACGAGTAACAAACAACAAGTTAGTATCGAGTCTGGTTTTCATATGGTCGTAATGCATGGCCGTAAAAATAGAGTCACGATCTTTCTCAACGGCCAGTTTATAATAGTTTATACCTGTAAACCACATAAGTATTCTCTAGTTATAATCACTCCGCGTATTTTCAGTTCTAAAATGTTGTATTTCGGCTGATCATAGACAATCCAGAAGACAGGGACTGGAAACGCAAGCTAGAAATATGATGACAAATCGTGACATCCGTGATGTGCCTGTCACGTAGCAATTACTTGGTTACCACGGTAACAAGTCTTTAAATTTACATAAAAACAAAG